ACAGCAACTTGTCTGTTCCCCTTACCTCAATTCCCCAATAAAAATCTTTAAAAAAAAAAAAGTGTTTTATTATCAGTTTCTCTTCTAACATCTCTGTCAGAAACAAATACGAGCTGTGATCTAAAAATACAATGAATGTTTAAGTGAAAAATTATTACAGTAAAAGACACATTGCCATTAATCCCCCTCAAAATACTCCCCCTTGCTTCAAACACACATATCCCATCACTCTTGCCACTTTCTGAAGCAGCTCTGGAAGTCCTCTTTTGTATCTTTAGTTGCATTGTTGTGGCTGCCTCGATGTCCTGAATCATTTAGACTTTGGAGAAAAGCCAGAAGTTGCACAGTGATGGATCCGGTGAATAAGGTGGATGAGGACACACTGTAATCTTTTTATTTGACCGAAATTGCTGTATCAGAAGCGATGTGTGACACGGACTGTTGTCATGATGGAGGATGATGTAAACACACTCACGAAAGAGGACTTCCAGAACCGCATCAGAAAGTGGCAAGAGCAATGAGATAGTGTCTGTAGAGTACGAAGGGAAAAACAGAAAAAGTCCTCTTGATCGCCAAAGAAAGCTTATCTCCCATCTTCTTTTCTATCAAAAAATATATTAAACTTTTTCCTATGATACTTTAAAATTGTAGAGCACTAAAACATTAGATCTCTCCTAGCATTCATTCATTCAATGTTTATTTTCCTTCAACAATAAAACTTCTTTAAGGCTGGCTTTGTTTTCCCATAGACGCATAAGTGCAGCACTTGTCTGGATTTCTGACACCCTATCGTTGCTTCTATCTGAGACGTGCCCAACACTTTCCGTTCTTGCTTGAAAGTGTACGCTAGTAGATAAACCATAGGTATAAAACTCTATCATCAAACTCCATATCTTGATGAGTTGAAGGGTAAAGGGAAAATAGTCAACAGTGTCTCCTTTATCTCAGCCCCTAAATAATTCCATCAAGATAGCAGGTCCTACTAGGCTTATTGCCATTTCTATACCCCAAGAGTTACCTCAAGGTCTCAGGGAAATATCTTTTAATGTTCCTTCCTAAAAGGTTGGATGTTGCAGCTTTATGACTTTTTTTTTTAATAAAGTGAAATTTAAAAGTAATCTTGTTTGAATTTTTTTTTCATACAAATCCTTTGGAATTAGAGAAAGAACCACAAGACAAAAGGAAGCGAGATGACTGATGATTGGAACTATAATGCTCCCTATCACCGCATCACCAGTCCTTAATGAGGGCTGTGTCACCCTGGGGAGTAACCCACGCCTGTAAGCACTTACTCACTGACATAAGGAAGCATGCTGAAATATGGGCATGGACATAAAGCCCCTATCTTGGGATCAACAGTCATCCCTTAGTTGTACAGATATGCCTTCTTCTTCCCGGTTTTGCTTGGTTTGAATCCCAAACGTTGCCCATATCTTCATATTCTGCTTCTTAAGGAGGACTCAATGACACAGCAATTAGAGTTAGACAGCAAACTGGTGTCAGAGTTGTCAATCACGGTCCATAGAACGACCAACTAGACTCCATTCGGAGCTGAATCTGGTCCCCACTTGTCCACTGTGTCCTTGGCTTTTTGTGCCGGGCCTAAGCACACACACGTAACCTCGCCCCAGCACAGGAAACCACGCTCCTGACGACAGTGGTGGCTCAGGAGCTTTCTTACCTCCACCTGCCAATGTCCCCTTTACGCTTCTGACTTGCTTATGTTTGCTTTCACCTGCCCGGATCTCCCACATCTGACGATCTTCAAACTCTCTCCCTGGCCTTTTATACATTGGCACCTCATGTATGTTCTCAGAATCCCTTTAACAATGAATTAAACCATTTATGAGGGTCACAGCAGTGTTTCTCAGACTAGAGTAACGCATAGACTTTTCCCTTTTTAAAAGAAAAAAATTCTCAAAAGACTAAGAATGTGTCTATGAATTTCATTTTAAGAAAAATATCGAATTAGGTCCCATATCTGCCTAAAAAAAATAACTGAATCTTAATTAGCAGTGAAGAAAGTGTGATTCATTAAGCTAATATTTGTCAAGTAGAAAGCAATTTAGACATTTGAAGTCAAACCTAATGAAGAATTGTTTTTCCCTTGAATGCTTGTTGTGGACAATTATAGGCCCAGCCTCCTCTGTATCAAGCAATAGTAATACATTCAACAAATCCATCCCTAAATCCATTTACATCAATAAAAATGCTCTCCGTTGAAGAGTCTTGCTAGTAATTGTGCAGATTTATTAATGTGCATGAAAAGCTACGCACTTAAGAAGCTAATGCCAAAACTCCAGGTATTTTCCCTTATTCCTGTCTCAATTCCAGCCAGCTTTCAAAGCCAGCTCTAGCCTTAGACCTTGACCTATCCAGGTAACACTGAGCTACCCTGTGTCTAAACTCCAAAGGCAGGTAATCTCTACTCCTTAATCACATACAGTCACATACACAGAGAAGCCCAGAAACATACAAACGCTATGATATACAGGCAGAACACAGGATTATATTGACCTAGAGTAGGCAATAAACAGAGCAGGTAAGTAGGATGTTGACATCAGGGGATTCAGCAATGGGAAAGGGGCTGTAGAAACTCTAAATACTAAAATGGCGAAAGGTAATGTTGGTGGCAAAGAGGGAGGAGTCAAAGAGGGAATCAAATAAGGGAGGGACAAAAGCAGGAATGCAGCTGGGGTCAGTACAAGGGAAGGGGATGGGAAGTCATAGACATTATCTCATTTGGTCCTCCCATCCATTTCACAAAGCTCTTTGTTATCAAATGGCATCCTGAAGGTCACACAGATGATAGCAGGAATATGATAGGAGGAATCTGATCTGATCCATTACAACCCAGTGTTTAATGCATCCAGAGTAAAATTGGATTTAAAAAGCCACAGGGAATAAGGCAAAAGGTAGAGACAAAACTGGACCTGCAGCAAGGGTGACGTGCTATGGAACAACTGGCCCTGAGTTCTTCCAGTTCCCCTTGACTAGGAACAGGGCTGGCCCCATAGGAAAGAGGGCACTTGAGCAACAAAGGCTGGAAAGAAACGCAGCAGGGTGCCTGGTAGATATTAATTTATTAACATCTATCGGACCACACTTGGATCTCTCAATGGCTTTCTAGGTTCTTTTTTTATTTGTGGTAAAACTATACATAACACAAAATCCACCATTTTAACCATTTTTAAATATACAATTCAGTGGCATAAGTACATTCAGAATGTGCAACTATCACGTCTGTCATGTAGGTTCTTTTTTATTCTGGTCTCTAGTCTTCATTGAACTTAGCACAGTGCTATGCACATAGAAAGTGCTCCATAAATAAATGGTTAATGTGCCTAAATACTGTCATGTCCATGTGACGATAATGAGAGGATGTGGTCACTGGTAATGTTCCCAAGTCATCTGGTGCCTAAATGGAGCTTCTGTGAGTCCTGGACAATACGGTCATGAGAACTCAGTCGCCCTGGGAATAGTCATCAGGGGTTCTCCTTTGAGCTTTTGCCTAATAACATTCTGTCTTATGTCCTTACAAATTATTATAAATAGGACATTTGTATAGAGCTGTGGCTCTAACCAAAGTCTTACTGCACAAATCTTCCTTAGATGAGCGGTTAGGAGCTGCTTACATAACCTAATCAGACATGTAACTGTCAAATGGCCACAAAGCCTTAAGTTTCCTTTCATGTGCCTATCCCATTGGAAGGGAAATGTATTTGTCTTGAATGAGAAGAACTTTGTACATGTTTAGTTTGGTTTCTAAATCAACTTAATTGAAGTATAATGGACATACATTATAACTCACACATTTTAATCTGTGCATATCGGTGACTTTTGACAAATGTATATAGTATAATATTTGTGTAACCACACATGTACAGATTTTACAAACTGCATCAGATCAGAGATTATGAATTACAATAATTGAATAAATCTTGATTCTAAAAACAACAAATATTTTGGGGTTGTTTTATCATTCCCTTTTATATGCATTATATTAATACTATACAGATACCTAATCCAAAAACTTGAAACATTTTGCTTCTTCTAACTTAGAGGTATCAAAAAAGGAAAATGCTTCCAACAATTTACTATATTCAATTTTAGGCATTACTGAAGAAAAATGCACAAACTAGGAAACAAGCAGAGTAAGGGACTAGTGCTGAAAAGCCAGAAGTCGTATTCTAGAAGGAACACAGTAAAGAATCAAGGGTTGCTAAGAGAAGAAAATATGGTGAGGTGGGGTGGGGAAAGGAGGATAATTTTGGTCTCAAAAGTTGAAAACTTTTATATGGAAAAGAGACAAAACTTATTTAGTATATGGTTCCAGAGGGCAAAATTATCAGAGGGAAGTTATGATAGGACAGAGTTTACTTTACAAGCATATAAGGAGGAACTTCTGAGTCAGAGCCTCCAGATGGAATGGCTGAAGTATGAAGTATCCCTGAACTATAACTGTTCAAAAAAGAGTCAAAAGACCATCCATCTGAGAGGTTGGGGCAAGAAAAGGGTTAGATTAGTTGGCCTCTTAAATCGTTTCCAATTCCAATTCTGAGATTGTTCCTAGATGCATCTAGGAACTTCTTATAATTTAAAGCCAGGTGTCAGGAAACCATAACTCAAAGATGTACAACCCCAAATTTAGGTTTGACCAAGAACAATGAATCAAACCTAGCTAGAAGCACAAGCAGAAACAGGCTTTCATGTATGTATGTACACGTATGTGTACACACACACACACACACACACACACTCATACATCCAACCGTCCCATAATTTCTGGAAAGGAAAAATACAAATAATAACAGAAAATCTATCTTTCCCACCAAATCTACTTTATGTTCCCTAATCTATTAATCTATGTTAACAGGATCACTGGCTACCTGATTATGCAGAATACAGCCTTACGTTTCTTTGACTCTTCCATCTTTCTTTATTTCTACTAAGTCTGCCCCAGAAATGCCTCTTAGCTGTCCTTAATCTTTATATAGTACTCCCCTTTGTCCTTGGGGGATACATTGCAAGACCTCCAATGGGTACCTGAAACTGCAGATGGTACCGAACCTTACATATACTGTGCTTTTTCCTATATATACACATGTACTTTATGGCTTCTCTTTGGTATATCTGAATTGGCAGCATCACTACTCTTGTACTTTGGGGCCATTATGAAGTAAAATAAAGAGTGACTTGAACACAAGCACTGCGATACCATGACAGTGGATTCTGATGAACTGAGACGGCTACTAAGTGACTAATGGGCAGCGGGTGTCTACGATGGACAAAAGGATGATTTACTCAGGTCTTGGGCTGGACAGAGCAGAATGGCACCAGATTCCATTATGCTACTCAGAACGATGTGCAATTAAAAACATGAATTGATTATTTCTGGAATTTCCCGTTTAATATTTTCAGACCGTGGTTGACCGCAGTAAATGAAACCGTGGAAAGTGAAACCACAGATAAGGGAGGACAACTGGACTTGCATTGCCATTGCTGTTGGTGAAACTTGTAGTGGGTTCCCAACGAGTCATCCCGCCTATAACCCCGCCCCCGGCCCCAAGGCCCTCATTCAGACCGCTAACAGTGATCTTTCTGAAGCACAGGCTGGGTCACATCACTCGTACCTGCTCAAAAATCTATATATTGGCTCCTTAATACTTACAAAGTAAAGCTCAGATTCTTTGGTATGGCCTTGGATGCCATCTCAGCTCGCCCTAGCGCTCCTTGCTTTGCTTGCTCATGGTACCTTAGGCTTTGGTTACACTGCAGAACTTATCACTCCTGAAAGACAACACACTGCTCTACTCCATACCTTTGTTCAGCTGTTTTCAAATGTACCACCGCTCTCCACCTGTAGCCATTTCACTCAGTTTTCAAGGCTCAAGCAAATGCTGCCTATCTTGTGAAGCTATCCTTAATGCTTCCACTTCACAACCCCTGCCTCCCTCCCTTGAAATTAAATGCTTCTTTTGGAGCTTATAATACTTCTCATCTACCTTATATGTGCATTTAATAATCTGTTTTGGGGGCCCAAGCTTATCTCTACCCACCGAATCTCTGAAGGCAGAGCGCAGGCTTCATTTATTTCTACATCCAACCTTGTCAGACCCCCAATGCCAAAGGTCTAACGCAGTACCTTTTATACAACAAGAGCTTAATAAGTGTTTATTGAATTGCTCTGGAATTTAAGAACAGTTAGACTTCTATCCAGGGCCTAATACCCGTCTTAAAAATTGTAACTTCTATTGAAATTCTAATCCAAAGCCTAGTGACCAATAAAGCCTCTTATCCTATTAATCTAACATCTCTGATCCAAAAATAGTTAAATACTTACATTCACTAGGAGAGAGAATTCTGTGACCAGTTGACTAAGTCCGATTAAGTCCTTAAAAAGAGAGAGAGAAAGAGGAAGTTACTTACTTTTATCCCTCACAGCTACCAAAGAGGGAAAAAAAAAATTTAACATACCGCTTCTAAAATTTCCCATGATTCTGCGGCATTTTGATCTCGAGGAATTTCAGGCAACGCATATATCTGAGTCATACTCTGAGGATCAGCTTCAGTTTCAGTGGCGTGAAAGGCTCCTGGACAAACATAGCCCCACGTTTATCGTTTATTTGCTTTGTTAGAAACGCAATAGCATATGAATCAACTCCATGAAACAATTGCCATGTAAAATGCTTACTAACTGAATTCAGGCTTAAACTAAATTGATTATTCTATAAAACCAGATATAGCTATGGGCACATTGTTCCCAGCTTAACAAATATTTTTTAAATTACTCCACAAAGCTACCTCAAAAAAAACAAACAAACAAACAAAAAACAACAAAAAATCCCCACAAGTCTACAAATACTTTCTACCCAATCTGAATAACTAGGGCTAGATGTGGAAGACGCTCCAAAGGAAAACTGTTCAATTTGGCCAAAGTTCCATGAAGAGATAGATTCCCAATAAAAACAAGTTTAAAACTTTTCATTGCTAAATCATTAACTGTTTCTTTTGCCATTTTAGTAATAAATATCAGATTCTTAAAGTGTTAAAAGTAGAGAGGTGATGTGTTTTTAGCACTGAAAATCAGTCATTTTTGGTAACAATAAATTTGTTATCAAACTGACACATCTTACCATATGTATCTTTTTGTGCATATCGTCACCCTGCATCTCAGGCTCAGTTTTCTGGCCCATGCCTCCATTGGTTCTACAGCTTTTCTGAGTTTTAAAGTCATCAACCCACTAAAGCTTTCCTCATTAAACACTGCTATGAGGATGAATGAATTTGTGCTTCAAACTTCACCTTCAGGTCTTTTTTATTTCCTTGTATTGGTTTTACCGATTATTCATTCATTAAGCTGATATTTACACAGTGCCTACTACATGCCAATTAGTGTGCTAAGATGCTGGGGACACAATGGTAAATCACAGAAACAGGTCCAAGAAGTCAACATAGTATAGTGGTTAGAAGTTTGGGCCTCGTCTGAAAGATCTGGGTAAGAATCCTGGTTTGGCTATTTACTAGCTCTTTCATTTGGGAAGGCATTTCATCTTTCTGACTTATTTTCCTCATTTGTAAAATAAGATGATAGTTACTTTGCACTGTGCTTGGCTTATATATCAAGTACAATAATAAACAGTTACCACTACCGCATTGCTACTGCTGCTATTATTAATGGAGCTTACCATTAACGTGTGATACAGACATGTTAACAGGCAAGTTGGGTATAGTCTGATACGAACTATGATGGCTAAGTATGGGATGCTCTGTGAGCACAGAAGAGAGGTAGTTAACCTAGATTTGTGGAGGGCAGAGTGGGAGAGTGGTTCGAGGGGGTTCTGAAGCTATAGCTTAAGGATGAACGAAATTATATTGGTGAATTTGAGGCAAGGGTGGGGGAGGAGTAGACAGTATTAACATCACGGGGAATAAAATGTGCATGGGTTTGGGAACTGAAAGGAGTGTAGTACAGCTGAAGCATAGACTGTGACAAGAGAAAAGAGAAGGTTGAGGTTGGAAATCTAAGGTGACATAACTCACGGTACCGTAAACTAGGTTAAAGAGTTTTGTCTTCCTCGTAAGATCCATTTGGAACTACGAAAAGGCATAGGAGACTACTGGGAAGCTGGAGGGTGCCATATCAGATTTCAGATTTAGAATGGGAACCGTAGCTATAGTGTGAAGAATAGATTAAGGGTGGAATTGAAAAGCAAAAAAGTTAGAGTGAAAAACCAGTTGGGAGGCTTTTCAATGTGTCTGGTGCGAAATGATGATGGCCTGCTCTAGGCCAGCGGCGGTGGACATGGGATGAAAAGATCTTCTGTCCCCCTTACTTCAAGCTCAGAACACCTACCTCTTTAATATTTTCTGATCACCCATTATGTATTATGTTGGGTACCTGGGATGAAAAATTAATACAAAGTAGCTGCTCTCAAGGAATTTATACTCTAGAAGAGTTAGGCATACAAAGAGACAATCCTAAAACAGTAAGAGAGTTAATTAATATCTAAATAAATATAAATACATATAATATTTTGTGGGAATTCCAAGCTGGGGGTGGCATCTGACCCAGCGTGGTGTGCTGTGCAGTTTATAGGACAGCTTCCTAAAAAATGGTGATCTTACTAAACAAAGAAGATAGGAATATAAATTCCAGGTAGAGAGACTTACTTGAAGAAAAGGCCCTCAAAGAAGAAACAATATAGCTTAACACAAAATCAGCAGTTTGGTCTTGCCAAATCATAGAGTAAAAGAGACAAAGTTACAAGTATAACACATCATAGATGGTTAGGAGGGAACCTGCAGGCCAGGTAAAGACCTTAACTGGTAGACAGTGAGGGCTACTGAGGGGTTATAAACAGTGACACCCGATCTACTTCCAAAAGCCTTTCTACCTCGAAGTTCATCTTCTCTCTCAATTTCTTTTTTCATCCTAGTTTATAACTGAACGATAATTTATAAAATTGCATTACTATTTTACTTTAAAAATTTATGAATGCTTTACCTCTCTCGAGGAAAATACCTGTTTAAATTGTTTAGGAAGGGCGTAGTCAGCTGACTAAAAAGTAATTTGTAGGCTTATCAGAATTGACTGTGTTCTTTTAATTTTTAATCTTATCTGAATACACTTCCTTATCATAATGGAAGAGCAAAAACATCAAAGTTTGACGTTTTACAACATGTCCTAAAAGCTCTCTATGAGGTTTACAAATGCTTCAGTTATTTACCCAGTGTCCTGAGTTCTCACATAGACACTTTCATTTTCGCTTCCATCAAGATGAATGAATTACTTGAAGGCCTTTCTTCCATGTAATATTCCTATTATAAGAACTCCAACTTCTTTAATAGGGTGATGAATAATAACTTCATTATTAACAGACCAAATGTAAAGTATAACTTCATAAACACAACACCCACTCTAAAGATTTTTTAAGCCACAACCTTTGTGCTATTAGAGAGGATTCAAAGAAAGTATGCCAGGGTATATAATAAAATGAAGAGAGATTATCATATATAAATTCTTGATCTAGAAAAATGAAAGGATGGGAAATGCCTGACATTTTAAGCAAACATTAAAGACTTCCCTCAGTAAAAAATAAGAAACATTTAAGTTATTTACAATCTCACTTGAAACCAAACTGTGTCTGCATCTTAATTCAAATGGAATCCTAGAACAAAGAAATCTGTTCTCGTCCATGGAAAATCCTGCTGTAAACTTACAACTCTGAACATTACTAATCAATTTGAGGCACGACTAACAATTAAGAAAAGAAGGCTTTTAATTTCTACAACTTCCATAATTCATTTATTCCAGTTTATATTAAAAATCAGTACCTCAGTGGTCATCCACTGACTTTCACAAATCGCTACAGACATGAGGAGGCAAAACATTGAGACAGATTATAGCTGCAGGAAAGAAAGCTAAAGAACTCTTATCCTGTCCACATAAGTCAAAATTACTATTGTTTTATATGACATAATAATCTAAGATAGTTCCATCCAAGTGCAAACAACTTCAAGTGTAAAGTGTATATATTAGTATATATCACTCACCACTGTTTTTCAAACTCCAATTTTAAAGCCTTATTATTAACTATAAAGTCAAATAAACATTAAGATAATTTTAGTTTAAATGAGAAATAAGCTAAACAACGTAGACATAAGACTTTTCCCTTCTCTCTGTATGTCTAAACATTCATTCATTCACTCATCTATTCATATTCATTCTCGCCCTCTCTCCACACCCACTGCCTTCTTTCTCCACACTTCATGAAAGGTAATGATTCTGCTAAGAATTATAACACAATATACAAGAAATTTCCACTAAACTTGACTACGTTAGAAAAAAGTGTCATTATGAGTCTAAATTCGTTCAAAAGCGTTTCCTGAATTTTTTCCATAGTCTGATAGCTTAAAAATAATGAAATGAATTTATTGATTATCGACATAAGCTTATCAAAATAAAATGACTTCTAAGTCATGGCTTCACTTAGCTGCAAAGGAGGAATTTTAAGAAAATTAAAACCAATAGAAAACACATCTTCTGAATAACATACAAAAACCACCTACGTGTTTTACAAAAATGGTTCAGTACCTGTATATACCTGTGATAAAATCTAATATTTCCTCAAATTCAATATGCTGGTCTGAAGTTCCCAGCAGTTTTAAGATTGGATTCTTTTCTTTTGTGAATATTTGTTTAAAATGTAATAAGATTCTGTTCCTATTGTGCTGGTGAAGTTGTGTGCTGGGTGGGGAGTAAGGAAGACAACGATGGACAGGAGCAGTGATTCACTTGGTATGGCTTGATACACCTTCCTAAATACAAATCAGATGTGTAGGCTCATCACTTCTCTGGGTGGGAGGCAATATGCTAAAAATGAAACTAGACACACAAGTGAGACAGAGGGAGTTTTTCAGATCAAGCAAGATTGGCAGAGAAGATGAGCTTTAGGAACTCTCAGAATCTGGACAAAAGAAACAGCAAAACCATCACGGCTTTCCCCTAAACTTAATAAGCTTCTTTCATTCTCCAGAGAACATAACAGGTCCTATTCTATTTGTTATTTCTATCTGTAAATGAAAAACTATTTTTGTGTTTCGATCTCACTCATGGAAATGTGGCAACATTGCTCCTGAATCTCGCCTGATGTTTCCAACCAATTTATTCAGAATCAGATTGAATTTTTAAAGGAAAAAGTACTTTAAGGCACTTAACTTCTATGCAAATCGAACACATTTTTCTGTATAGACTGTCACTACTATAATGAGTATCTAAAGCAAAAATAAGGAGAAGCCAGAGAACACTGGATAAAAACATGTAGAATGACTGAAAACAGACTATCGCTGAAAGGTGACTGATCACACACGGGGCAAATCCAATTCATACCCCACTAGTCAAGTCTTACGTAAATCAGTTGCTTTCTTTTCATATACTCTTCCTCCTTTCCTCTCAATCATTTGTTAATGATATTTCTGGATTTAAGGCAACCTAGTAGAAATTCTCATATCTGGTGAAATACTCAGGCATTTGGTGAGACGGTTAATATAAACTGCTTAATGTTGGCAAGGGATTCAAAATCAAAGCACAATCTGACCAGCAGACCATTAAGAATTTGAAATTCTAATGTTATTTTATGTATTACTTAGGTATCTGATTTTATAAATGGAATCACTGTCTTAATCAAATCAGCATTATTTGCAGAGATCTTTTTTGTTGTTTCTCCCAGTGACAAGAAATTAGGTCTTAGGCCAATTTGGCGTTCCATGAATTGAGAAGTTTGAGACTCAATACAGTTGAGAAATAAATTTCACCTGTTACATCTTCTCCTTCATCCTCTGGCTCTGCCCCAATCTTTTTCATTTCCTCTGTACACATGCTTCTTCAAATTTTACCAACATCTTTTTTACACCAGTCAGTTTTCCATGGAGAAAGTAAATTGCCAGCAAACTGGTAAACTGCCTTCTAATAATTACCTGATGCCTCTGATGATATATAAACCCAAATTTGTTGAACCCAAGGAATCCTACTGGTAGAAACACAAATATGCAATAATAAAATGCAAATTAAAGCAAGTATTAGAATAGTATCATATTGTGAGAAAACTCACACAGAACTCAAAATTTTTGTTTGCTGCTGATGGGCAATTCAAAGCTAAACAGTATCATAAAAGAGATTGATGCCAGTGACTCTATCCAGAAAATCCAGTGTATCTTCACTGTTATTACTGCTATCACAACTGCCAAAATGTCTGGGTAAATAAACCGGCCCCTTAATCACAAGAAACTATAAAGCCCAGTTTTTCTATACATGTACATAAAGTATCAGTTCGTACATACTAAACGACAAGAATAGCATTCAATCCCATCAATATGGTGGTGATAATTACATATGAACAGAATAATGTAAACAGTAACTATGAACTATCAAAAAGCATTCTTCCCAAATACTCTTCAGGTAAGGGTTGAGGTCTAACATTTCTTTCTCCCTCAAACAACACTGGTTATCCACAGAGTATAGTAGTCATATCTAAAATTATAAAACTGCCTCTAAAAACATATTTACTTATTCATATTTATGAAACATTTTTTAATGGTCCATTATGTGCCAAGCTCAATGTACTATGTACAATGTACTTACTGTGTGCTAGGTACTAAGGATACAATAAAAGCAAGACTCCCACAAGCTCAGGGTGATAGCCTAAACATTTCTTCTATCTTTTTTCTATTTCCCTGTAAATTTCTGGATCATTAACATTGAAAATATAACATTAAAAACAATCTGGTTTTGAAGACTAGTAGTACAGGAGCCCCCTAGGTAAATAAAAAGAGGAAAACAGAACACGTGTAGCATCTCTCAGATTCTATGCTAATCTGTAATTTATTTATACTCTACCCTTTCCATAAAGACTTAGAGCAGCTTAGACCATACATAAAATGTAAAAACAATGTCTTCTCACACCTTTAGAATGGCTATATCAACAAAAAAAATAATAACAAATGTTGGAGAGGCTGTGGAGAAAAAGGAACCCTCATACACTGTTGATGGGAATAGAAATTGGCACAGCCGCTACAGAAAACAGTATGAAGGTTCCTCAAAAAATTAAGAATAAAATTACCACATGACCCGGCAATCCCTCTTCTGGGTACCTACCCAAAATATCTGAAAACATTTATCCATAAAGATATATGTACCTCGATGTTTGCTGCAGCATTATTCACGGTGGACAAGATATGGAAACAACCAAAGTGTCCTTTGATAGATGACTGGATAAAGAAGATGTGGTATATATACACAATGGAATACTACTCTGCCATAAGAAAAGATGAAACAGTGCCATTTGCGACAACATGGATGGATCTTGAGATTATTATGCTAAGCGAAATAAGTCAGACAGAAAAAGCCAAGAACCACATGGCCTCACTCATATGTGGGATATAAAATTGAAAGCAACAAAGGAACAAGACAAACAAAGAAACAAAGAAACAAAAACTCATAGACACAGACAATAGTTTAGTGGTTTCCAGAGGGTAACGGGGTGGCATGGTAGAAAAGGGAAAAGGGGTCAAATATATGGTGATGTATAATAGAAATGTACACTTGAAACCTATATAATTTTACTAACCAATGTCACCACAATAAATTTAATAAGTTAAAAAAAAGTAACAAGATGGCACAAATTAAAAATAAAAAAGAAACTCTAAAACAAAAAAGGAAAAACAAAGGCAGCAATTATAAAATAAAGCCAGGATAGTTTAAAAATTTGGCTTTTGGTAGTTAAAAAACTTGAATTTAAGCTTTCTACTAAACAACCCAAATAGAGAACCCTTATCAGTGTTGCCATTCAATACCCATAAGATAAAAAATAACCCAAAAAACAAGATGGATTACTTTGAAGTACTACTATGCATTAAACTAAGAATTTTTTTTCAGGGTTCCTTATAAAGAAATTACTATAATGTGATCAACAATTATAAATTTCATCCTTGGTAGAGATATAATGAGAAGTTTCACTGGGCTGTTTCTTAAAGTATCACTTCATAAAAGTTGATGGCATGACCTCCAATGTATGATGTCAGCTAAATTCAGAAAATTGAGCTGGGAGATAGATCTAGCATCCCCTGTGAAAATCAGAATGTCTAAGAAAGAAACATGACTGACTAGGCCACCTTTGCACCGAGAGATAAGGGGAGAGAACCCTGCAGGCAAGGAAGACATTCTCCTTAGGAAATACTTTAAATTTTCAATATGTAGACAAATAGATACTTGAAATCCTGAAGTTCCACTTTATCCAGCATAGCCTCAAATGTTTCATCCTGCGAAACTTCTAGGCTATGCATTTCCAGGCACACTCACAGTCCAAGAATTCAGCATCCTGGAATAGGAGGGGAGCCCTGGAGACTTATGTATTATCTGCAATGTCTATACAAAGAGGTGAACTTGAATTAACTGCATTACTATGATCAAGAGTAAGAACAGTACATTACCACCAACAGTCATAGATCTGGTCAAAGAAGGCTGTAATAAAGTTTCTTCATCATTAAATTGTTTCTTAAGTTCTTCTACAGATTCCAGATGGAGTTGGAGAAATTCAGCTGTTGCTGCTGATGCTTCTTCTTTAACAGGGTTTATCATTCTCTTCAGAAGTCCGAGGTCGTCCTTTCGGACTTTCAGACAAAGCTTCTCCATTTCTCGGATATTGGAGCGGAGTTGCTATAAAAAGAAAAAAAAATTATTAAAGCCACCATACATTTTAGTATAAAATACCTTTATTTTCGGAAGTAATTTGTGACACTGGCTGTGAATGGAAATGATTATAAGCATTCTGTACAACAGAAGGTATGCATAATCCTTTTCTATTTTTCATGTCTCTGGCTAAATCCAGCTTCTTTAGAACTCACATCCTCACACTTTGAAGACACTTAGCATTTTTCATCCATTAAATGATTATTACAAAGGTAACACATGCTCTTCATATCACACACTGTAGAAACATATTGAGGAAAATGTAATGATTTCCACACTTCACCAGTCCTCATTGCTCAAGCAAATATTGACATATATAGGCTTTCTTTTTTTTACAAAAAAGATCACATTATGCACAATAATATATAATTTGTAATTTTACGCCCCAACTTGACAATACCAACATGGATATCCCTCCTGGTCAATGGTTGTACCATATTCCATAGCATCGATGGAATATAATGTATTCAGACAGTTCTCCAGTGATCAAAAGTCAGCCATGGTGTTTCCAATTTTTAGTTATTTCAAACTGTAAATCCTAATATATGCATAACAGTATATATTAGTATTATAGTATGTACTATTATACTATATTTTGTAGGGATAATTTTCAAAAGTGACAGTACTCAAAGGATAACAGCATAATGTGCATTTTTATTTCAACAGTTATTATCAGTTTTCTCCCCAAAAGGCTATAACATGACCACCGAAGTAGGAGTGTCCATTTTACACGCTGTATCTCAGTGTTTTTACTTTGCATTTCTCCCTGAATGAAGCTGTTGGATTTTTTCCAAATGACTTTTCCCTCTTTTTAGAATCATCTATTGTCATAATCATAAATTTTCTCCTAATGTGTTGATAGCATGAAGTATGAGCAGGTTTCATGGTATAGAGCCATCTTTCTATTTCTTCAATAAACCCTTCCTGGTCAATACATATAATCTTTTAATACACTGTTAGATTCAATTTGCTAATATTTTATTCAGAATTTTAGAAAATCTATGTATTTGTGTACCTGTGTACACATGTGCATATGTCAACAGTGCAAGTGTCTACGGTATCTTTACTACGTTTCAACTCACTTGAACAGGTCTAAGGTGAGCTAGCTTCATAGAGTGAACTGGGGAGCTTTCCATCTTTTTCAATGCTCTATACTTGTGAAAAACATAAAAAGGAACTATTCTTTGACAGTTAAATAGAATTAACTTGCAAAAGTAACCTCAATATGATGATTTTTAAAAATTATAGATCTCTATTCACATAATATTTTAAATTCTTTCCCTCTAATGTACTTTCACAGATGCTAATGCAAATCCTGTATAGTAGACAGGACAACCAATATTAATTTCTTGAATTTCTCATGTGACTACTTTGAGTGAGGTGTTACATTCCATATTATTACATGCCACATTATTACATAAAGAGAAATAAAAAAAAAATAGTTCAGGATTTACTTAATTATTTAGTGGCAAACCTGGGGTTAAAATCCAAGAATTCTTATAAGTCCAGCAATCTTTCCATTAAACTATAAACATAATCCCCTCTATATGGTACCTTAATACATTCTACAGTATCCATTTTATTCTAGTAAAATTAAAGCTAACTCTGGAAAAAGTAGTTTAGCTACAAATTAAAGCATCATAAAGACTTGCTGAGTGAATGAAAAACCTGTGCCTTTAACCTACCACAACTCCACGCTTCCTTCAACATTATGTCCACTCACACCATGCCAATGTGAGCCAGGAAATCTACAAAGGAACAGACTGTAGTTTAAAAATATGTGCTACAGCCGGCCGAGTGGCTCAGTTGGTTAAGAGCTCGCTCAAGAGTTTGAGCTCTGAGCAACAGCGGTTCGAGTCCCTGCCTGAGCTGAGCAGCCGCTGAGCTGGCAACAGGTGGCAGGATGGCTCAGCTAAAAATAAATAAATAAAAATATGTGCTACACAAGCATTACTACGTAAAAATCATATAACCACGTGAGCATCTAATCCGTCCTCAAGATTTTACAATAAGGAAGCGAGTCCAGATGAACACTGTGGAAAAATGAGGACCAAAGTCCAGTTCACAAATCCTGAAACAATATTATTTTCAACACACCACCATCTCTTGGCTCTGTGATTCCTTTCTGGACCACAGTTGAAAAGTTTGGTTGTATAGTTGCCATATTGTCCATAGAGATATTTTAGGCAACATTATCTTGCAAAAGCATCAAAAAGTCTCTGCAGCTAATGAGCATTGTTTGTGACACATTCTTCCTCTGTTATAAAATTTGTACATATGTTTATGTCCCCAGTCAAATTATAGTGTCCAGTTAAGAACTCTACTGCTGTGGATGAAGGGGGAAAAATGTTAGCGGAGAGAAAGAAATACCCACTAAACTATAAAACCTGATATTATATTAACAAAAACACAAATAATGGCTAAATTTTTATCAGCACTTACTGGCAGCTGTCCAATGTATATCTCTGATGTAGAGTTTGATTCAATTAAACCTGGTAAATGAATGAATGCTTTCTCATTATTCTCCACAAAGTGGCAAAGCAGTGGTCCAACAACAGGGATCTCCAACTATCAAGAAACCAAATAGAATTCTTCCCTAAGAAAGGATAAGTCCTTAGCATATGAAACATTTCATCTCGCATCAGTTGGAGAAAATAATGAAAGGAATGGCTTTTTTAGAATTAATTCTGACATACAAGCATAAAACCAGTAAAGTGGGAATGAAACCCAGGAGAGAAAGCAATCATGCCATCTTGGAGTTCATAATATTTAACAAAACGATACACTAGAAATAGTGATACTTTAGGGAAGTGAATCAAGTTTAGAGAAAAGAGTTGTATGATGCCATATCAGAAGTGATACTGCAGTAGGAAGATGTTTTTCAAAAAGAGAGATAGTTTCTAAAAAGTAAAATTCTGACACTATGAAAAAAAGTTAATCTGATAAGAAAGTGGTACCTTAAGAATCCAATATAGTTGTGTAAGGTGTGCTATAAGTTCAGAATTTTATGAGACTTATTTTTTTAAAAAAAAAGGAATGAAAAGAAAGGCATGTGAACAAGGATAAACACAAAAGAGTGGTGTGAAATGAGGAGACTCGTGTAAGTAAAGTAAGAGCCCAGAATGAGCGGAGGCTGGTGAAAAATGTTAAGAACAATAAAAAGGATTTAAAAACTACATGTAGAGTAAGAAGAACAGGAAAGAAGGTTTAGGCCTACTGCTTGGGGCAGATGGTATAATGTTAACAGATGATGCAGAGAAGGCAGAACTACTTAACTCCTATTTTGATTTGGATTCTCTATTAAGGAGAAATATTCAAAATGGAAAGAGGCATAAGAAACATGATCAAAGGACACTTGAGACATCTCACTGCAAGGCTTCATGAAGGAGGTGAGATCTGAGCTGTCCCTGAAGAACAATATTGGGAAAACAGAATATACGAAATAGAAAGAATAGATCGGGAAAAGACAGAAGTGGAACCGAGGATAGCAGCTTTCTAAATACTGTATTTCATCAGTTTCAGGACAATATCTTTCCTACATTTTAACATCTCTGAAATTGGAATGTATCTTTAAAGAGATGGTAAAAAAAAAAGCATTGTGTCATCCTTAACTGGCACCACTTTTTCTTTCTTAAAGGTACTTAAAATAATGGTGTATCTTGAAACTGATGGTGCCTTAGATTTAATCTCCTCCCTGAGGTTCTATAGCACCTATGCCAGTCAGAGTGAAGGTCAAGGATCCTACGTCCTGACTAATCTGCTCATAGCTATTTCAAGGCAAAATTTAAGTTTAAATTTCTCTGGAGCTTATAATAACCTAAAACAACTGACCTCCTAATAGCTTCATTTTGGAATCCACTCTTCTCTTCTCTCCCGTTCTTCGCCTGGCCTTGCTCCTCCCTAACCTTGTCTCTTCTCCTAACTTCTGTCTACTATCCTTACTTCTCCCTCTCTTTTCCTCACTCCCTCTTTTTCCTATTGCTTCTCACATTAAAAGAATTTTTTAATTAAAAAGTAGATAGCTCGAGTGTTCTATTTCCCCTAATAAAATTATAAAAGCCACATTTTACTTCTACACGTTCCATGACTGATTTTACTTGTTTGTATTTATGCTCCCTATGAAAATGGATAGACTCTCTGCACAGCAGTCTCTTTCTCAATGTGGTCTGAAATCGGCTGAATCAGAATTTCTAAGGTGCCCAGAAATCTGTGTTCTCAACAAGCTTTGCATCACCACTGCTATGGCGACTAGGCTGATTAAGTTTCTATAAAAGCCAGGTTAATGTTCTTCAGTGAATTATTACAATAGTAATAGATTTCCAACTTTTTCACTTAGTTTCAAAATCTGATCACCAAATCTTTCTTATTGCTAATGTTTTCTTATCCCTGAAAAGAAAACAAACTCATTCTACTTGCAGTTTAATAATAATAATAATAATAATAATAATAATAATAGACTTCTGCAGTTTGCAGGACAGAGTACTGGAGAGAAGGGAGTCACACAGAAAGAGAACCGTGGAGATATGCAGACGGATCACCTCCAGTATTTAGCAGAGGACTGACCAGAACATGTTTGTGAGGAAACTCAAGGCTGGGAGAAAAAAACCATCAAAAAAGATTAGAAGGCACAGTGTCCAGGACTCACTCAAAGCTGGAAACAATGTCTGTTCCCACTAGCTAAACTGGAAAAACCCTCACAGGGCATGGGTACAGCACTCAGAAAGGTTTTACCTCAGTAGCAGAAAAATAATTAGCCCTAGACTGAGTATTACTCCGGTCAATCCTAATAAATTATAAAAGACCTAAGAGGGTCAAATGGCTTCCAAGTAACTATTGGGTTGTCGGAAAAGTCATGACACATTTTTGCAATGAAAAACATAGAAAAAATACGTCATGGCTTTTCTGACAACCCAATATATTCTAGAACACAGCTCAAGAAGATTATAGGAGCATGAAAATATCTAGCA